GTGCCGAGCGGCAAGCGGCGTTTCTTGGCGCTACGCGCCGCCTCCGCCTCTGCCGCCGCTTCAGTTGTAGGCGCACGATCAAGCCGCGAGGGCTGATCGGGCCCGCTGGTGCTTCGCGCAGCCGAAGCCGCGGCTTGCGCGTCTCCCTCGTCGCCCGAGGAGAAGCCCTCGGGAAGTCCTCCTGTCGACATCGTTGGGCCGAATTTGCTCCTGGCCGACGATCTGAGGAGAAAGTCTTCGTCCCGATTGGGACAGAGAGAAACGAGGGGGAGAGCAGAAATGAAATAGAAAGGACAAGTAAGCTATTGAGGGTAAGTTCAGGCTAGAAAGATAAGGGAAAAAGATAGGAAAATGGAAGAAATTTGAAAAAGGCTATAGTCAGCTAGATAATGGCTGCTACTCCCTAGTGAGGCAGGAACAGAACTAAGGAGGAGGGGCTATTCCGAAGGCGCCAACAGGAAGGGGAAAAAACTTCTTCCTGCCTCCCTAGTGGCACGGTGGGAATAACCCATACAGATGTCCTCCGTCTCAGAGGGAGAAGGTAACTTCATGAGGTCAAGTCCCAAAATGTTGCGGGCTGGTCCAGAGAGCAAGTGAAAGGCTGTGTAGGCACCCTTAGGATGCTGCTGAGGCCCTACCGAGCCAGAAAAGTCCTGCTACCTCACCAGAGAGAGAGAGAGAGCAGGCTGAGTGAACAACTCACCTGGAGGGTTGTCTAGGAGAGCCACAAAACAGCCATCCACAGGTGGGTCTGCCATCACCTTGCTGAGGAGAAGGCACGGAGTTCCCGGGAGCAAAATGGCTTCCTCTCCTGCCCCTCCCCAAACCCTCCCCCAGAATATGCACTTTGCTCCTTTTGCTAGCCCACTGGAGAGGAGAAGGAGGCGGCTGGAGGGGAGTGGGTGGGAAGACTCACAGGAGGAAAGAACAGATTGGAGGGTGGGGCAGACAGCAGAGAGCAGGACGGATGAGAAGGAAGCCAAGGAGGCCCCCCCCTTACCAGGATGAAGAGACATTGGTTGGCGAATTTTTGATGTTCTGGGATGGTTGAAAACACAGACAGGACCAGACAACTGAAGACCAGCAGAAATCTGGAACAACAAAGGGAAGGGAACATTGGGTTAGCATATGCTGGCACCCTCAATGACCGTTCTAAAACCAGAACCGCTGGGATGGATTCCTTCCTCCATACTGCATCCCGCTTACTGCTGCCGTCAAATCCAGGCGCAACACAATCCCATTCTATGCCAGATTGTTCCAAGGGCTCGTCAGGGGCTAAAGTGTAGAGATTTTTTTATTTTGTGTGCCATGCCCTCAGTGATCCCTCATCCTAGCCCTAGGTTTTAACTGTCACTTTTACATGTGTGTGTGTTTGTGTGTGGTGGCTCAAGTGGCTAAGACGCTGAACTGCAGGCTGTGGAAGGTCGGTAGTTCAGCAGTTCGAGACCCCGGTGCCGCATGATGGAGTGAGCTCCCATCTCTAGTTCCAGCTCCTGCCAACCTAGCAGTTCGAAAGCAAGAAATTGCAAGTAGATAAATAGGTACCACTTCGGTGGGAAGGTAACAGCGTTCCGCGCGCCTTGGTGTTTAGTCATGCCGGCCACATGACCACAGAAACGTCTTCGGACAGCGCTGGCTGTTCAGCTTTGAAACGGAGATGAGCACCGCAACCCTAGAGTCGGATTCGACTGGCTTTCGAGCAAGGGAACCTTTACCTTTTTACACATATTTGAACTTGCTTTTAATGGTGGTGTTTTTGTTTGGCTTTTCATGGTTGTTTTTATTAGGTATGTCTTTAATCTCTGAGCCGCCTCTGTGTGGCCCTGATGAGGGCAGAGAGGCGGGGTGTACATTTTTGCAAATAAATACCCAATAAATAAAGCAGGGTTCCACTGGGCTATTCCATTTCCGAATATCTCTTATTATATTAAATCCAGTCTCAAGGAAAGCAGATCTGCAGGATCGTCTTGTTTGGAAAACACTGTCAAGAGGGGACAGTGATTTCCTCATGCTCAAAGCATTGGGAAGGGGGCGGCAGCGCTAAAACAGATCCATTTTGAATTGCCCTGACCCTGGGTGCCGCAGTACCCAAACTACAATGGATCTCTGGAAGGCTGTCCGTGTATGCATGTGGAAGCTCAAATCCAGTAGAGTTTTCCAATTTTAACGGAAATAAAGAGGAATGTCAGAAAGATGTCTTGGTGGACTGCACTCTCTCTCTCAGTCAGTGTGGGTGTCATAAGAGTGATTTTCTGCCCGAAGCACCACAATATTTCTGCTGGCCCTGCCAATGAGCATATAGAATCTATACTTTGATGGGAGCTGTAACATATACCTCGGCTAAGCTGCAGAAGGTCTGTTGTGGCTGTAGATGGCAGCAGCAGAAAGCCAGAAAAAACCACCCCAGGTCATCATCACTGGAGGCACAAAAAACTATGCAAAACTTTGGGAGCATTAGTTCTCCAGTCCCTGTGATGCCAATCAGCTCCCCACTTCCCGAAACAAGCTCAGCATGAAGCGAAAGATGCAGCCGCTCAGTAGAATACATCTTCCTCTGCAGGTGGGGGAAACACCATTTCTGAATGATCTCCAGGTCAAAAACTCCCCCCAAATTAATACACATCCGTTTGCTCCCTTTAATGCTAGGTTTCTCCTGGCGGGGAGCTTTTTACTCACATAAATCCATGTCAAATGTCTATTTTTTTAAAAAAAATGTCCATCAAGATGGGGGGGGATGGAGGATCCTTTCATGAACTACTGCATTCTGCGTTGATCAGGCAAACCACATTAGAACATTTGCTTTCTTCTACAGAACAGAGGTCTCTAGCTCTGTGAAGCCCTGTGGAACGAGGAATGCTGACAAATCTGCACGTGAACCTTTTTACCAGGTGAACAAATTGTTTTTGACAGCTATAACCACTCAACCAAATCTCTTTATCCCACCGCTGTCCAACACAAGCAATGTGGTGAATAGCTGGGCAGCTGTGCCACAGCTGTGCTGGTGGAGCTTCATTTCCTTCCGCCTTGCAGCTGCTGTTGTACAAGCCCAGCACGTGAAATGAATTCTCTCCCAGGGTCTGCATGATTGGGGACAGATAATTAAATGACATCGGTGTGTGTGTGTCTTTTTGCCATAAAGCCACAGCTGACTTATGGTGACACATCATTGGGTTTTCAAGGCAAGAGAGGAACAGAGGTGGTTTGCCACTGCCTGCCTCTGCATAGCAACCCTTTTTTGCCTTGCTGGTTTACCATCCAAGAACTAACCAGGGCTGACCCTGCTTAGCTTCCAAGATGTGACATGATCAGGCTAGTCTGGGCCAATGTTCCCTCTAAACTGTAGAATCCTGTGAGCAAAAATTCTACTTTGTGAGCTACCGGCATTAAAGTTGTGAGCAGCTGATTTGGCTACTGCATAAATTAGTGTGTTCTGGAGCCATCCTTCCTGAGCTGAAACAAAAATGTGTGAGCCGGAGGCTAAAAAACTGTGAGCTAGCTCACACTAACTCAGCTTAGAGGGAACACTGGTCTGGGCCATCCAGGTCAATGCAGGGGAAGACTATGATTCTCAGTCGGGGGAAGACTATGAGTCCCATGAGGCTGTGCAAAAACGTACATGTGCAAAACGTTGCCAATCCAACAGACCAATCATTAACATCAGTAATACAGACTTAGATTAACAACACCCTGACCTCAATAGCCCAGGCTATCCCGATCTTGTCAGCTCTCAAAAGCTAAGCCGGGTCAGCCCTGGTTAGTATTTGGATGGGAGACCACCAAGGAAGTCCAGGATCACTATGCAGAGGAAGGCAATGGCAAACCCCTCTGAATGTCCCTTCTCTCAAAAGCCCTACAGAGTCACCATAAATAGAACAGAATCATACGGAAGGGGCCATACAGACCATCTAGTCCAACCCCCTGCTTAATGCAGGATCAGCCGAGAGCATCCCTGACAAGTGTTTGTCCGGCTGCCGCTTAAAGACTGCCACTGAAGAGGAGCTCACCACCTCCCTAGGCAGCTGATTCCACTGTTGCACAACTCTTACTGTAAAAAGGTTTCTCCAAATACCCAGCTGGTATGCCCTTAATTTAAACCCATTATTACGAGCAGGGCTCTAGTCGGGGGGGAGCTCTCAGGTACAGAGCTCCGGAAGAGAACCTCTAGGGGGCGGGGCGGTCATGTGGTGAAGCCCCGCCCCCTTCTTTACCCCGCCCTCTGCTTCGATCCTCATTCCGTTTGGGAATGAGGATGAAGCAGGAGGGTAAGTAGCCGGGCCTTCTGACACACTTCCGGTGATGTCAGGGGGTGTGGCCTTCTGTCACTTCCGGTGATGTCAGGGGGCGTGGCATATGCAAATAAGTTATGCTAATGAGTTATGCTAATGAGCTCCGGCAGCTCTTTTTCTACAACAAGACCCCTGATTACGAGTACTATCCTCCCTGCCCTCCTCTAAGTGACAGCCCTTCAAACACTTGAAGAGAGCAATCATGTCCCCTCTCAACCTCCTCTTCTCCAGACTGAACATTCCCAAGTCCTCACAGGGCTTGGTCTCCAAGCCCCCGATCATCCTCCTCGCTCTCCTCTGCACCTGCTCCATTCTGTCCACATCCTCTTTGAAGTGAGGCCTCCCAAACTGCACACAATACTCCAGGTGCAACCTAAAGAGGTGGTGGGTCCACCCACAGCTTCCTGGCTTTCACAGGAGGGCGGGCCTTCCCCCAAGAGCGGGAGTGCTGATTGGAAGGTAGTTCTAGATTTACATACCCCTATGTTAACCCCTCCCTTGTTTTTTAACCCTGTAATTTCCCTCCTGATCCCTGTCCCTTGTCAGGTTCCTTAGCAGGAACACACCACACATCAAGGCTTCTCAAGAAGATAAGTGTTTTAATGATGGTCCATTACTAAGAACGAGTATACAGCTTGTGTCAGGAATCGCCGGCAATATGATGGCCACTGACTTATAGTAAAATCAAACATCTCCCCCACCCCAAAATAAGCTGAAGCCAATGATTACATTTCGCGTGCAGGCAAGCAAACGGCTGCACGCCCAAACTGTTAAAATTCCAAGGCCGGGCAATGACGCAGCTGCAAGAAATAACAAGGTGAGAGCAGAGATAAGCAGTGAAAAGCTAGACAGGATGAGCTGGCGTGGAGAAGCCCCCTCCACATTCCAACACCATGACAGGGCTACCTGACATCCCTCTGCTGGGCAACGTTCTTGTTGGCCCCTGGCCAAGTAGCCAATGGGGTTCCTACCAAGGCTGGAACACTGCCACCTAGTGGGGAGACCAGCTGCCCCCCATGGCTCAGCTCTGCCATTATTTCCAGCACACTCAGTAAAATATACGTGTATATTTATTTTTATGGATTTATTTCTATCCAGCACACTCAATACAGTATTTCCATGGTGACTCTGGACACCATTAAAACAATAAAAGGTAGAGGTTCCCTGCTCATCTCTGTTTCAAAGCCGAAGAGCCAGCGCTGTCTGAAGACGTTTCCGTGGTCATGTGGCCGGCATGACTAAACACCAAGGCGCACGGAACGCTGTTACCTTCCCACCAAAGTGGTACCTATTTATCTACTTGCAATTTCTTGCTTTCGAACTGCTAGGTTGGCAGGAGCTGGAACTAGAGATGGGAGCTTACTCCGTCTTGCGGCACCCGGGTCTCGAACTGCTGAACTACTGACCTTCGACAGCCTGCAGTTCAGCCTTAACCACTTGAGCCACCGCAGCTCCATTTAAAACATTTAAAACAATAGTGCAACAATAAAAATGTCATTTCTATAACTAACTACAGCAGCCATCAGCAATGCTCCCTCTAAGCTGTGGAGTCTTGTGAGCAAAAATTCTACTTTGTGAGCGACTGGCATTAAAGTTGTGAGCGAGCGATTTGGCTGCTGCATAAATTAGTTTGCTCTGGAGCCATCCTTCCTGAGCGAAGACAAAAATGTGTGAGCCGGGGGCTAAAAAACTGTGAGCTAGCTCACACTAACTCAGCTTAGAGGGAACACTGGCCATCAGCCTGAGCTTATCAGTGTTTGGAAACCAAGCAGGGTTGGCCTTGGTTAGTACTTGGATGGGAGATC